TGGGAGGGGTAACAGACCCCTGAGGGGGGGTAAAGACCCCTGGAGGGGGTAACAGACCCCTGGGAGGGGGTAACAGACCCCTGGGGGGGTAACAGACCCCTTGGGGGGAGCAGACAGACACCTGGGGGGGGGCAAGAGACCCCCATTGGGGGGAACAGATCCCATTTGGGGAGGGGGGCAGGAATAGACCCCTTGGGGGGGGCAACAGACCCCTGGGTGTCATTGGAGGGGGGGAACAGACCCCATTTGGCTGCGGGGGTCAAGAGACCCCCCCCCGTGGGGGGAACAGACCCTAATTTGGGGGTCAACACACCGAGGGGGGGTCACCCCCCCATCCCCACGGCGACGTTTGTGGGGAGGGGACGGAACAGCCCCCTCTGCCCCCTCAATCCTTGACCCCCGGGCCCCCCCGCGCCCCCCCTGGGCCCCCCCAAAAGACGGAGCCGGGCCAGGTTTCGCTGTTTTATCGCGGCCCCAACGGACCCTTTTCCGGGCGCTTTTATCCCAAAAAACGCGAGGGCCCCGCCCCGCCCCCACCCCCCCCCCTAGCCTCCCGCGGCCCCCCCACCCCCCCGGGGGGTCCCCCCTGGCCTGGGAGGGGCTGGGGGGGGGACGGGGAACCCCTTGACCCCCCCCAGGTGGGGATGAGGCACCTCGGGACCCTCAAACCTGAGGGGGGACCCCAAAAAGGGGGGGACGTGGGGACCCTCAGATCGGGAGGGGGGGGCTGGGACACAGTGACCCCCCCTCGGAGCAGAGACGGGGGGGTGAGGGGACCCCCAGAGCTGAGATGGGGGGTCAAAGACACCCGGGGACCCCCAAAGAAGAGATGGGGGGGGGACAAGGACACCTGAAGACCCCAAGACCCCCAAAATGGGGGGTCGGGTTGGACACCCCGGGACCTCCAGAACTTCAAGCTGGGGGGGCACAAGGGCCCCCCAAGACCCCCAAAGCCATAAGAGGGAGGGACAAGGACCCTCCACCACCACCCGACCCCCAAGGGGGGGTCAGGGGCACAAAGACCCCCAAGATCACCCAAAGCACAGAAAGGGGGGGGACCCTGAGACCCCCAGGATGGAGGGGGGGAGGACACCCTGGGACCCCCAGACCCCCAAGGGGGGGGACAAAGACACCTCAGGACCCCCAAAGCCTCAAGACCTGGACCCCCACAATGGGGGGGGGACACCTTGGGGCCCCCAAACCCCTGAGCTGGAGGGAACGAGGCCGTCTGGGGACCCCCCAGGAGGGGTGGGGGGACCCCCCAGGACCCCTCCAAGCTCTGAGATGAGGGGATGGGGGCACCCCCAGACCCCCCCGAGCACAGAAGGGGGGGATGGGGACACCCCCAGACCCCCCCGAGCACAGAAGGGGGGGATGGGGACACCCCCAGACCCCCCCCGAGCACAGAAGGGGGGGGCAAAGCCCCCCAGGGGTGGAGTTTGGGGGGGAGAGGACACCAAGCCCCCCAAGCCTGGGGGTGTCTGAGGAAGCTCCCGGGGGGGAGAGGACACCAAGCCCCCCAAGCCTGGGGGTGTCTGAGGAAGCTCCCGCAGAGACCCCCCAACCCCCGGCGGGGTCCCCCCGAGTCCAAACCCCCCCCCACGCCCCCCAGGACGGGGTTTGGGGGGCGCGGGGGGGCACTAGAGGGGCAGGATCTGCTCCAGGAGGGGCTTGGCCGAGGGGGGGATCCTGTCGGGGAACTTGACCTCGAACTCGAGCACCAGGTCCCCGCGCTGCTCGGGGCAGCGGGGGAAGGGCAGCCCCTCCCCCGGGATGCGCCGCTTCACCCCCGGCTTGAGCACGTCCTGGAACACCATGGGGATGGTCCGGCCGTCCAGCGTGGGCACGGCCACCGTGCAGCCACACAGCGCCTGGGGGGGACACGGGGGACAGGGGGGACAGGTCACCACCCGGGGGGACACAGGGGACAGGGGGACAGGTCATCGGCCAAGGGGGACACGGGGGACAGGGTGGGTACGGCCACCGTGCAGCCACACAGCGCCTGCGGACACGGGGGGACAGGTCACCACCCGGGGGGACACGGGGGGAAGGGTCATCAGCTGGGGGGGACACGGGGGACAGGGGGGACGGGTCATCGGCCAAGGGGGACACGGGGGACAGGGTGGGCACAGGGACCGTGCAGCCACACAGCGCCTGCGGACACGGGGGGGACAGGGGGACAGGTCACCGCCCGGGGGGACACAGGGGACAGGGGGACAGGTCATCGGCCAAGGGGGACACGGGGGCACGGGGGGACAGGTCACCACCGGGGGGGACACAGGGGGGACAGGATGGGCATAGGGACCGTGCAGCCACACAGCGCCTGGGGACACGGGGGGGACAGGGGGACAGGTCACCACCCACGTGGGACATGGGGGGACACAGGAGGGGACATATCACCATCCAGGGGGACACAGGAGGGACATTTCACCATCCAGTGGGGACACGTCACCACCCGGCTGAGGGGGGGGCACCAGAGCCCCCAGCACGGCCCCACCAACGAGAGAGGCCACCCAGAGAGACCCCCCCGACCACCCCTCGTGTCCCGACACCACCTAAAGCAACCCCCCAAACAACCCCCCCTCGTGCCCCAGTGGCACCCAGAGTGACCCCCTGTCCCCCCAGAGTGACCCCCCGTCCACCCAGAGTGACCCCCTGTCCCCCCAGAGTGACCCCCCGTCCACCCAGAGTGACCCCCTGTCCCCCCAGAGTGACCCCCCGTCCACCCAGAGTGACCCCCTGTCCCCCCAGAGTGACCCCCCGTCCACCCAGAGTGACCCCCTGTCCCCCCAGAGTGCCCCCCTGTCCCCCCAGAGTGACCCCCGTCCACCACAGAGGTGACCCCTGTCCCCAGAGCCCCCTGTCCCCCCATAGAGTTACCCCCCGTACACCCAGAGTGACCCCCCTGTCCCCCCAAGTGAACCCTGTCCCCCCAGAGTGACCCCCCGTCCACCCAGAGTGACCCCCTGTCCCCCCAGAGTGACCCCCCGTCCACCCAGAGTGACCCCCTGTCCCCCCACCGTGTCCCAGCACCACCCAAAACAAACCCTGAGCACCCTTTGTGTCCCAACACCCCCCAAACTGACCCCTGGCCATCCCCCATGGCCAAACACCCCCCAAACTGACCCCTGGCCACCCCTCACATCCAAACACCCCCCAACCCAAACCCTGACCTCCTTCATGTCCCAACACCACCCCAACTGACCCCCAAGCACCCACCGTGTCCCAACACCACCCAACCCCACCCTGAACACCCCCCATGTCCCAACACCACCCAACCCCACCCTGAACACCCCCCATGTCCCAACACCACCCAAACCCACCCCCAACCACCCCCTGTGTCCAAACACCACCCAGAGAGACCCCGACCAACCATCGTGTTCCAAGAGCACCCAAACCAAACCCCAACCACCCTTCACGTCCAAACACCACTCAAAGCCACCCCTGACCACCCCCTGTGTCCCAAAACCACCCAAACCCACCCCTGACCACCCCCTGTGTCCCAACATCACCCAACCCAAACCCCAACCACCCTTCATGTCCAAACACCACTCAAAGCCACCCCTGACCATCCATCATGTCCCAATGCCACCCAGAGAAACCCCCTGACCATCCTTCATGTCCTAAACCCACCCAAACCCACCCCTGACCACCCCCTGTGTCCCAACATCACCCAACCCAAACCCCAACCACCCTTCATGTCCAAACACCACTCAAAGCCACCCCCAAACACCCCCTGTGTCCCAAAACCACCTAAACCCACCCCCAACCACCCTTTGTGTCCCAACACCACCCAAACCCACCCCCAACCACCCTTTGTGTCCAAACACCACCTAAACCCACCCCCAACCACCCTTTGTGTCCAAACACCACCCGGAGTGACCCCCCAACCACCCCTCCCCCAACACCACCCAACCCAGCCCACCCCCGACGGCCCCACGGGACCCCCCCCAGACCAGTCCAGCCCCAACATCTCCACCGAGCCCAGCTCAGCCCTGATGTGCCCCCAGGACCAACCCCCCCCCAGAGTTCCCACCTGACCACCCCACACGAACCAACCCCCCCCAGTCCCCACCTGACAACCCCACACAAACCAACCCCCCCAGAGTCCCCACCTGACGACCCCAAACAAACCAACCCCCCCCCAGTCCCCACCTGACGACCCCACACAAACCAACCCCCAACAACACCCCCCCAGACCCCCACCTGACGACCCCACACAAACCAACCCCCCCCGAGCCCCCACCAAGACCAACCCAATCCCGATTCCCCCCCCCCACCCCACCTGACACCCCCACCCCCAACAACCCACCCCCCCACATCTCCAATGAGACCAACCTGGCCCTGATGTCCCCCCCTGATGTCCCCCCCTGGTGTCCCCACCCCGATGTCACCACCACCGAGACCATCCCCGTGTCCCCACCGAGACTAAGCCAGCCCTGATGTCCCCACCCAACCAACCCCTCCAACGCCCCCAACACCACCCAGACCAACCCAAGACCATCCGAAATGTCCCCACCCAACATCCCCACTGAAACCAACCCGGCCCCAATGTCCCCGCCAGGACCGACCCACCAGGACCGACCCACCCCATGTCCCCACCAGGACCGACCCACTCCATGTCCCCACCAGGACCGACCCACCAGGACCGACCCACCCCATGTCCCCACCAGGACCGACCCACCCCATGTCCCCACCAGGA